AGTTGCATCTCTTCTCCGTGTTCTCCCTATTCTCTTTTCCCTAAAGGAAAGGGATTTTACTGCTACAGAAGTAACTTTAAACTCCACACATAGATATTTAGGGTGAACTGAGATTCATCTATATTTTAGTGGGACCAAACCTCAGAATTTTCTTGGGCATTTAGGTGGGAAGGTCAGTCCTACAGTCAAGAGTTGGATGGGCTTGGGCAGAGGCTGAGGTGAGGAGATGAGATGCATACTTGCTCCATATTATAATTTTACCTGTTGAAGTTAATTTTACCTAAATTGAACATAGTCTCAATGGTTCTGGAGGAATGTTTATAATCAACATCAAACCAAACATCTTCATCGTATGCTTTATAAGTATTTTGGGGTCCAGTAATAAGAAGGAACAAAAACTTTCACTAGGGCAATATCTATTAGCAAATAACTCTAAGACAAGATATAAATGTTCACCATAGCATCTGAATACAGAGTACCTTTCCTTTTAGCACTTTGTTAACATAATCTTCTAATCGATGAGGTTGGGAAGTGGGGGTGATGTGAAGATGACATTTCTTCCTGAAGGTGTTATAGATTATATTAGTGTCTTTATGAAAATTAGATGACTTCAAAAGAACAAACAGCAAAATAAAGAATAGACAAATGGAGCTACACCAAACTTAAACACTTCTGCACATCCAAAGAAACAATCAGCATAGTGAGAAGGTAACCTGCAGAATGGAAGAAAAGAACTGCAAGTCATATATCTGAGAAACGGTTACTATCCAGGATAGATAAGGAACTTTTATAACTTAACAAAAATCAAAAAAATTGGATCAAAAGATAGGCAAAGGACTTGAATATTTCTCCAAAGAAGATATTCAAATGGCCAATAAGCACAAGAAAATATGCTTAACATCACTAATTATTAGGGAAATGCAAATCAAAACCACAATGAGACATCACCTTATGCTCATCAGGATGGCCACTATCAAAAGACCAAAAAATAAGTAAGTGTCGGTGAGGATACAAAGAAGTTGGAACCTCTATCTACTGTTGGTGGGAATGTAAAATAGTACAGCCATTGTGGAAAACAGTGTGGAGGTTCCTCAGAAAATTAAAACTAGAAATACTGTGTGATCCAATACTCCTATTTATGAGTATATATCCAAAAGAAATCACAGCAGAATCTCAAAGAGATATTTACACACCCATGTTCATCACATCATTCATCGTAGCCCGGAGGTAGAAGCATCATCAAGAGATGAATAGACAAAAAATCTGGTATATACATACAATAGAACATTATGCAGCCTTTAAAAAGAAGGACATCCTATTAATGCATGATTTTAAAAGATAAGAATTTCATCTTTAAGCATGTCAAAAAATAAGAAGGAAATCCTGTCATATGCTACAACATGGATGAACCCCAAGAACATTACGCTAAGCAAAATAAGCCAGTCACAAAAGAGCAAATACTGATGGTTTCCATTCATATAAAATATCTAAAGTAGCCAAAATCATAGAAACAGGAAGGTGATAACCAAGGGCTGAGGGAGGGAGGAGAGAGCCTTAGTGTTTAATGGATATGAAGTTTCCATGTTGCAAGATGAAAAAGTTCTAGAGATCTGTTGCACAACAATGCAAATATACTTACTGAACTGGTTAAAATGGTTAAGAAGGTAAATTTAATGTTATGTGTTTTTTCCACAATAAAAAAAAAATTATATGAATCTACTTTAACAGTGGCAGTGGCTGTAGAAGACTAATTCCCTGTGTCACTATGTGGGCCGAGGAATCCCCAGGAAACATCTGAATGTTGTGTACCAGAAGGGATAGCTGGGAAGTTAACTCCTTAAATTTTCAGAAAATATTATGGACCTACCAAACTCCAGTAAGAGTTTCCTTTTATGAGAAAAGTTTGTTGAAAATGAAAACTTAAAAAGCATAAAGAGAGTTCTTTGTAGCTTTTGGATTATGCAGATTCAACGATTGTTTTTCCCTGAGATGTAGTCTCATCAACACTGAAGTCATGCCCCACTCTTCTACCAAAATGTCTTTACATGAGATTACCATTGACCTCCTATCAAATCTAATGGACTCAAAATGGTCTGTCTGTTGGACGGTATCTCAAATTCACCAGGTCCTCTAAGCCTGGTTCTCCAATAAATGGCTGATATGATCATCAACTCATCAGTCACAATGAGAGAAACATCAACTTTTCTCCCTTTCTCATAGCCCCCACTTTTTGCTGTCTCATACTTATATTTAAACAGCGCTTTTTTGTTGTAAATTCTAAAATTCAGCTTGAACAGACAAAAAGGATAAATTTTATTACAAGCTTATTAGAATGTCTCACATAATCAGAGAGCTGAGCAACCGAGTCATAAGAAAGGTGAGGACACAGATGAGCCTCAGGGACAACTGGAACTATGAGACATGTGCCAGTACTTTCTCTTCATATTTCTCTGTGTCTGTTTCATGTTCTCACTACAAAATAGCTTCTTTATTTAGCAGAAAATATGCTAGTTTTTTTCTGGAGGGGGAATGACTTAATTTTTCCAATTCTACTTTGAAACATCCCAAGTAAGGGCTCTGATTAGCCATGCTGTTTACTCTGAACCACCTCAAACACTCAATATTAGGAGAATTCTTAAGTATATTATTAAAAATTTATGTAGTGGAATATTTTGCTGCCATCAAAGTTATGTTTATGATAGGTTTTTTATAAAATTGATATGGGGAATACATGTTAAAATCAGAATTTTCATTAACTTTATAGTAAAATCTCAACTTTGGAAGAAAAAAGATAGAATGGAATACCAAAATATTTAATAGTTATTACTTCTGGGGTTTGCTTATTTACCCTCTTCTTTTCTTCTGTATACTTTTTTTTTTTTTACAATAAGCTTATGTAACTTTGAAAACAAGGCAAAAAATGTAAAAAACCTTATTGTCACTTTATGGGCTATTGTTAATAGCTTCCATATGGGCTTCCAGACTCAAAAACATCCTTTATGCAGCTGTAAAAAATTATCTCATTGAATCTCATGACACACTCCTATTTAAAATCTTATTTGGTTTCTCATAATCAACACAGTAAAATCTAGACTGCAGGCTCCTTCACTGTAGCCCAATCTACATGTCCAGTTTGCACTCTCACCTTAGCCCCACCAGACACTTTATATGCTTTCACCCCAAACTACTCAGTTCCCCAAATATACCCTGCACACATCTTTATCCTTCTGTACTGTTGCTCATTCCATCCAACAAGCAGCATAAAACTGTTTCCTCCTCCATCACCACCATTGAAATCCTTGAGTCTTTTTTGGGTGATCCAATGGGGAGCTCAAATTTTGTATATTCTTACTTTGAGAACAATTTTCATCTACCAAAGAAGGCCACTTTGTCCAAGTGTAAAGCCTCAGGAGGCATAAGGGTAGAAAATGGAACTCACCTGCTCAATCAGATCAACTGAATCAACTGAATCAATGCTGATGATCAGGGCCCAGCCAGAGAACTTTCACCTTCCTTGTTACCAAGCTCTCTCCTTCGACCACCTACCCAAGTTACCATGCCTAGTACACAGCAAGCACTTGGCAAAATGTTATCGATGGGGCTTTCTAACTAACATACAAAGGGATTCCAGAGTTCCAGAACTCAGATTATTATGATTCATTACAATCTGTCCCACATCAGTTTGTGAGCTTATAGGCTGGCTAGTCACAGGATATCTATGCTGATTCAGTAACAGGTATATCAACCTCCCTTGCAATCATCCTTTCTCCATTGAACTCCACTCGCATTGCATCCCTTCCGATGTACAAATGCAGTCTTATATGTCTCCAAAATGCATCTAGATGTTGGGAGGTTTCTTGTCTCCAAAGATTTTATCTGAAGTGAATGTCTTTTTTTTTTTTCCCTATCAACCATCTGCTTTATTTCCAGGAATGTAATCTTGTGTTTCTATGTTCAAAGTTGCTGATCAGCAGCTTACCACATGATAATGACAATCATTAAGTCATTATAATGTGTCAGACACATGAAAGTTATGTTTTACATACATTTATCTTATTTAAAACTCATAATTCTCTGTGCTTTACAGAATCAGAAACTAAGGCTCAGAGAAATTGAACTGAGTAATTTATCCCTTGTGGCCATGTGGCAACTTAGCTAGTATGGCTAGTCAGGACTTAAATCTACTTCTATCTCACTCTAAAGCCTATGTTCATAAACATTACACCATAGAAACCAAGCCAAGTGGCAGAAAGAAGGAAGGAGAGTATCTCCTTTAAATATCCGGGACATCTTGGCCTAGAAAGCGTGCGTCTACTCAGCATTCAAGACAGATCAAACACTCATTGCCATGAATGTTTCACCAACTTCATCAGGCATAATTAGTCACATGTTCTTATGTAAAATTTTTGTAATTTTATGTAATAGCTTATGTCACTGACTTACTTTAGGTTATAATTACTTTCGTATGTCTTTCTTAAGAGTTGAGGTCTTGTCTTCCCCATCTCTTCATTTCTCACCCTGTGTAGCGCAGAGTATTGCACATAGTAATAACAATATGTTACTGATTAGGAGATAAAGTAAATGAAGTATTGTGGAGATGCATTTCCTTTATTAACTTATTAATAAATGATGTGCTATTACATAAAACCTGAAACAACTAAACAAGCAGAAAGCTGGAAAACACTAAAACTATAAATATTCTTTTCGTCTAGTAAATCACTAGAAAACAGCTCAGGAGGTTGTTTCACCCTCCATTCCCAAATCATTGCTGTTGGGGAAAGAAAAATAACTGAAGAGAGAGCAGAGAACCCTAGCTTATATCTGGTACTCGATAGAATATTTTCTTTTTAATGAAAGAACAGCTTTTAGGTTCCAGGTTTGTTACCACGGGCATCTCGTTCTCTCTCATCCTGGGGGAGGAAGATGAGCGTGAGACTAGAAAACGAACGCTAAGAACTACATTTCCCATGATGCCTTTCTTTCGTACGCAACCCAGCCTGCGACGTCGCTCCCATGGCAACCGAAGAGCCTGTACTCCCGGCCCATCTTGGAGTTTGCGGTGTGTCTGATTCTAATCTGGGCCTACGCGGAGCCGTCAACAGTGGGGCGGCCAGAACACGATGCCCAGGTATCCCCTCGGCCTTACTTGCGCCCGGCTCACGTTCCCCTCAATAGCCTCCCCTCTTTTCCACCCTAGCCTGGAAGGAGTAGGGAGGGAGAGGCCGCTGAGGTACCTTTGGGGAGAGGAGTCCACGCGAGACCAGCTGGTGGAAGAAGTTGTGGGTCTGTCCTGCTTGCAACCCCTAGCTGGGTAGTCAGAGACCTATAGGAACCACTCTTGCGTGTGTGGGTTCTGCCGAAAGCAGGTACAGAAGTTCCCCCGGGTAGAAAAGTCTTGATTTTGAAACATCACTCAATTCCAGCCATTCATTTATTCAATAAAAGTTTCTTGCGGGGCAGGCAATGTTCTAGGAGCGGGGTACAGGCGGTGAACTAGACCACAAAACCTCTTCCTTAGGGACCTCCCCTCCTGATGCAGGAGTTCACGACAACAATAAAGGGGCGGGGGGCGGGAAACTTGCGAAAGCACTGTGAAAGTGTTAAGACCACGTTTAAAAGGGGCGGAGTGAGGGACGGAGGGGATATTGTTGCCAATTTTAATGACCTATCCTCAAGATCATACCTAAACCTTTTCTGAAACAACTTATTAGGTCATACATGAAGAGAGAGGTGTCCTGGAGTCCATCACAGAGCAGGATAAATCTTTTCTCACCTGCGCATCGGCGGCGTGATCTCTGTTGAGACTGAACCTTAGTGTGAAAAATTCCCAGCCTCTCACCATATAATTGGTTATAGTTATAAAGTTCTGGCTATAGTTATAAATTTCCACTAGTGGCATGTCTGGTTGCAGCACCTCTTCTCCTCTCTGCTGGGAACTCAGGAAGCAGATAATCACGTTTTGAAAGAACAGTATGTAAATGAAGAGCAGACAGGCCAGGATTGAGTTCCTGGGGACTCAACCTGTGAAATAAATGTATGAATTTTAGTACAAACATTTCGGGGCATCTATTTTGGTCTTCTATAACTTCCTTTTTCATTCTTGGTTCTTGAATAATAATTATTATGAGCTCTCGATAATTTTAGGTTATTATATATAGGACAAGCCCTAATCTAAATGATTGCATTTTAACAATCAGTCATGACAGTCTTAGGTTGGTATTCCTTCTTATTGGCTTTTTAGAGATGAAGAAACAGGTGACTAACACAGAAGCTTGACTATATTAATGCTCAATAAATATTTGTTGAATTAATAAAGGAATGAAGGATCCGGAGAAGTTAGGTAATTTGCCCAAGTTGGCATACATAGAAAGTAGCAGATGCAGGCATACAACACATCAATAACTTGCTCATATATTTTTTTTAGTTCGATACATTTTTTATTTAGGCTTTAAGTTAAACAATGATATAATCTTATTTGTATAAAATTATGTGTGTAGAGAGACGAATAAAAGTATGATTTTCAAAATGTGATTTTGGGTGATTTTTTTTTTACCCTTCTTTATATTTTATATATTAAAAACAGGAATCTTGAACCAAAAATATAATTTAAAAAAAAACAAGTATTTCAGGGAGCAGGGATTATTTGGTACACTGGTTTTACACATTCCCCCGTTTTCATAGATGTTGTTGGTTTTCAAGTGGTATGTTTCCAAAATTCGTACATTCATATAAGTCTGAGAAGCTAACACATAGCTTTTAACTTTGCCTGAAAGCTCCAGAATAAGAAACCCTCAAATCCTGGTGATAAAGACTCTGCATATCGTTTTGGACTTTCTTTGATGAACCAGTCCTAAGAAAATGACTAATCCTCAGAAGTTTTATCAGCTTATTGTCCCCCCAGAAAATAACGTTGATTTGTTTTATAAATTTGACTGAAATAACATTTCCCTGTGCTTGAAATATTAGAAAGAATTATTTTTGTTTTCCTGAATTTTATTTTTCTGCCTCTCATTTAGCGAAACTCTCTGGGAAATTGCAAAAGCTGAAGTGGAAAAACGAGGAAATAATGGAAGTGAAGGTGATGGAGTTGAAATTGGAGAAAAATCTGTTTTCTTCATTGGCAGTAAAAATGGGGTAATGTCTTTTTTTCCTATTTTTTTTTTTTTAAGTACTGTGGTGATTTAACAACTAGTGGTAAGATTTATATTAATACTTTGCTAAAAATGTGTCTACTTCGACGCTTTCACCAGATGATCAATCTTCAGCATGCTGGTTATTTCAGAGCTGGTTGTGCCCTGTATGAGGGTGTCCTGCTCATAGCTGAGTGGATACTTACATCCAGCTGAGCACTTCTTGTCAAGTGGTGTGCCCTGACGCGGGCCACAGCAGCTGGAGGACTGTCTAATTCTAATTAAACTTCCCAGAGGAGTCATCTTTTCCCACTTTACACAAAGGCACCATAAATGCTGATCTGATGGTCATATTTATAGGTCACTTGTACAACTAAGTATGTAGATAATAAAAACATGAACCATAGAGGATATGATACATTTAATCTTCACTTATCTTAACTAAAGTCACAGAAATTGAAGGAAACTTGGAGATTCTATAGTCTTCTACAATAGGGATTCTTACCCTGGGGACCATAGAGATACTTCTTGGGGTCAGTGAACTCCTTAGAAATGTATGCAGAATTGTGTGATTGTGTATCAGTGCATTTTTTCTGGAAAATTAGATTTTCCCAGAATTCCAGCACCTCCCCAATAGGTTAAGAGCCACTGCAGACAGTGATTGTATAGTTTAGGTTTGAATATCTCCAGCAATGGGGGAGTTCTCTTCCGTAAGGCAACCTGTTTTAATTTTTGTTAATTCTTAGTTACTAGAAAACCTCAGGCTGTTTCATTGTAACTTCCACCATTTGGTTCTAATTCTGACCTGTAAAAATATGGGAATAAATCTAATTCCTCTTCTACTTGTTAAATCTTCAAGTATTTTTTAAATGCCCTTCAAATAGTTAGTGGCCCCTCAAATAATTAGTGGCCACCACCTTGTCCTCATGGGTCTTTCCTTTTCAGCTTTATCTTCATTTATTTCATGTCTTCTATGTCATGGACTCTGTATCATTCATGGATTCTCTATCTGTCATGATTTTTTGTAACTCTCAACTGGAATTATTCTAACGTGTAAGTCTTAGTATGGAACAGAATTTTTGAGGTTTTGCTTAACTATAGTAGACTAGAACAGGTCCGCCAGCTTCTCTTTTTCCAGATGCTATACTACTGTTATTGTATAGAAAGATTTTAGTAACCACCTAACCCTGTTTACTAAGGTTGAGCTTGAGACCTGTCTTTTTCGTTCATACTGTTATTTTGTCCTTACTTATATTAGATTGGGCCATTTGTTACAGTGTGTTTTTGTTTTTATTTTTAATTGCTTTTATTAAAATAAATCGTGTATGTTATCCTAAAAAGAAACTTAAAATAAGTATATCCTCTAGAAATAAACAAAAAAAAGTACTCTAACCCAGTATCTGGATTGCTTACTTTGAACATGTATTTGCCACATGTCCTTTATTTGTATGTTATCTTTTTTCTTTATTTCCGCTTCAACAATTGGAATTCAAACATTTTAGAAGACACTAATCATCAGCTTAACCAGTAATTAGCATTGATGAGTAGACAGAAAATGTAAGACAGCTGCCAAGTTGACCACTAAAGTGAGGTACGATTTGCTAGTATTTGTCATCTGCGGGACTTTATAATTATAATAATAGCAGTGTAGTTACACTGTGATGAAAAGTTGACAGTTAACTTTTTCCACTTATCAAACTTAGGAACAATTCTGAAAGTTTCTAGTTTCCAGGTAATTTATCATTCAAGTGATTAAAAAGCTATTTTGGGCCACAATTATGAACAATAGTAAAATTTTACATATGGATGACATTAACACAATATTCTTTTCTTTTTTTTTTTTTAAATTCCCAGGGAAAAACTACTATTATCCTAAGGTGTCTTGACAGGTAAGTATTATGTTAACCTTTAGACTACATTTTTTTGTTTATTCTAGTTGCATAGGGCAAGTTCGATTCTTAAAGACATATGGAAGGAAAATAAGTTTGAGGTCCAAACAAAATAATTTAATTCCTGGTGAATCCTTAGGATTGCCTTTAAAATCTTCTTTAAAAATAAAACCAGAGAGAGGAGGTAGATGAAGTAAAAGGGGTCAAATATATGGTGACATTAAAGAATTATAAATAAATAAAATTTAAAAAATAAAGAAATAAATAAATAAAACCAACAACAACCAAAAAAATTATACAGAATTAATACTATATTCCCCTATTGGTGGGGGGAAATCAACATAACTACACTGCCTATGATAGTACTTACTTACTTTTTGGCTCTGCTACTGTGATATTTAAATTATTTTTACTCTACCTAGTCCATGATTATTTGAATATTAGTCATAATCTTTAAATTACTTATGGATATAATTTTGAAGCACAAAGTTGGTCCTCAAACTGTACATTTTACCATTTGTTTTATATAGCTCATAACCTTCTATACTATAGAAGGGTGCCATCAGGTTAAGATTCATGTCATAATTGGTAGATATTGAAGTTGATGAGGGAAACCTCCAACAAATTTTGGAAGATATTTGTTTGCTACTTCATTCCAGTGCCTCTTTTCTGTAACTTCTCCAAAAACATCAAAAGAGATGGAATTTGGTCTTAAGGTCGCATTAAAGAAATCATTCATTTAAAAAAACATTATTGAAGAATACAAATAATAGGATCCTGGATTTGTATAATTCCTTTTATCAGCAAAATTGTTTCTTAGAAGAACCATCCACAGTGACACCTGCATCATCTTTCCGTCCCCAGGAATTATGGCTCTTTTTAGGCCACGTGTGTATCCCATTACAAACAAGTCATCCAATACAATGTCAGTTGAGGATGAAACTAAATGCTAAATTGATCTGAAAATTATGAATTTTAGTTCCTTGAAAGTCTATTTAGAAAAAGATCAGTTCTTCAAATTGTAGGTTAAATATCAGCATTTATAAATTTTTTTGTCTTAAAAGCAGCATTTTGTTTCATAAAAGGAAATTTTTATCTTTCAGGAAATATAACCAAATATTATTATATACATATATGAAAAAAGATACATGCAGGGATGATATACAAAATAAACATAGATTTCTAAATCACAAATTAAAAATTATTTCTCTTCTCCAAATTAAAAATAGATATATACTAATATTATTCAACCTTAAAAAGGAAGGAAATCTTGTCATGTGCTACAACATGGATCAACCTTGAGGATAGATACTTAATGAAATGTGTTAGTTACAAAAACAAATACTGTATGATTTCACTTACATGAGGTATCTAGAGTAGTCAGAGTCATAAAAACAGAAAGTAGAATGGTGTTTGCCAGGGGCTGGAGGGAGGAGAAAATGGGGAGTTGTTGTTTAATGGGTTTGGATTTGTTTTCTAAGATGAAAACGTTCAGAAGTTTGATTGTACAACAATGTGAATATACTTAACACTAGTGAACGGTACATTTAGAAATGGTTAAGATGATAAATTTATCTCCTACAATAAAAAATTAAATAGCTACATACCATAAAACTGCTTACCAAGCCCTGTAAGCTATAGTGTAAATAATTCATCAAATCATTCTAATATTTTTTAAATCATTCGTCAATTTTTAGGACTTATTAAGATAATTTGTAGCTCTCACTAGATAAATGATGTCCGCATTCGAGCTGTGATTTAAGATAGAGAACTGTATTCAAGTCTTCATCGGTGTCTTCTTTAAATTGATAGTCATTAGGTTCCCAGCTCCCCAGATCAAGGCTGAGCACAAACCTGATGTCACTGCTTTCCACATGGCCTGGACGCAGAAAGCCTGTGCCATAACGTGACCATCAACACTACCATCAACACTGCCAGCTCTATTGCCTTTTCCACTTGCCCCAACGGTGCCTCTAGAGGCTACCACATTATGCAGGTGCCATTATTCACCTCTGCAGCTGCCACTAAAATCCATTAAGATGGTTTTTTAAAGGCTTATTGATTTTTTATATAATTTTAAAAATCATTTTTACTTTAATGCTATTATGCAAGGTAACTTCTCTACTAATAAATTAAGAAGAATTTTTAAGAGAAAGCAAACATGAATCAGGTAAGATGATAGCATAAGAAAATAATGCCACCCACAATGGTAATGCTATCTGTCTTTATTGTACAGGGATGAGCCACCAAAACCAACCTTAGCTTTGGAATATACGTATGGAAGAAGAGCAAAAGGGCATAATATAGTGAGTGTCTTTTTGAGTGGTATTGCTATGTCCATAGATGGAGAAGTGATGATGCTGACTTTACATTTTCTATCTTATCTACAATCAGAAAACATATCCAGCTGTATATTTCATAGCTATGTAGTTTTAAATTTCAAATGCAATTCAGCAGATATGAAGCCAATTCAAACTGAAAATATTTTAGCCATCTCATTTGTTGTGTCTTAAAATGCTGAAATAAGATTCCTTTGTAACTTGAATGTATGTTTTTTGGCATGTTTATATTAATTGTATTAATGTGACTTTTTCTTTTTTCAAATGAGAATAATACTGTGAGTTACCTACTGTCTGCCAAAATATCTGCCAAAAATATGAGTTTAACCTGTGGAATATTTGTGAAAATATTCTTATCAAAATCTAAATTATTAGCATTTTTACAAATACACCATAAAGTTGATAATATTATTTGAAACTGCAGGCCCTGATTGATTATAGTCCTATCTTCACTCATTTTAGTGTCTTTTCAGAGGAAAGTTAGAAATTATTCTGGATAGAGGGAGAGTTAGGGGGATAAAAAAAATCCTAAATAGAATTCTGTTTTGGAGTTCTCACAGCAAAGGAGGTCATTTCTTAAAGTTAGCAGTATGGAAGAACAATCTAGAATGGAAGGTTCCGCTCTCCCATAAGACAAGCAAATTTTTACAGACTGATGTAGTCTAAATGTTTGATCATTAGACTATGTGTAGAATTAAAACTTTCTGATTTCACCAGTGAAATTTGGTTATTAAAACCGTGAAATTGAAAAGAAAAAATAACATTGAGATACAGGAGAACTTTATTTTTGTGACTCACATGAGTGATAAGCCTAGAAATGGAATTATTCTTTTATTAGAAACTTTGAGACAACTTTTATAAGCTTAACTTTTGAGAAGAGCTATGAAAACCTCCCTTCATCAAATTATGAATCAAGGGAGATTTTCCAATGAAAAATTATTTTTCCCACAAACATTAACGATTCAAATATCAATAGTCAAACAATTTTAGTGATTACGAGATGATAATTTGTCAAAAATACATATCAATTTATCTAAAACTTGCTTTAATGACCATCTGTCTCTTCAAAGTTCATGGTAACAGATAACATAAAACTCAGGTGATTCTTTTTCGCCTATTTTTTTCTTTAAACTTTCTGCTATCAAGTTGGGCTTGTCAACATTTAAGAAGATTCATGTCTTTCATAAATTTAATGTTCCCTGAGAGTTTTAATGGAAGCACAGTCTTGGTGTCCTGAAGGCTCTTCAGCATCACAGTGGAAGCAGAGATGCCATTAGCTAGGAATTTTGCCATGGTCTTATTTCCAAGCTACTTGGCTGCCTAGCCTTTTCTACCCGCTAATATTTAAGAGTCCTATAAAAAGGCAAGCAGTTGTTTAGGCTCTTCTTATTCCCCCACCTACCTCTTGTATTGCCAGGGGTAGCCTGCCAGATTCCCCAGGGGCATCAGGCACAGACTGTCTGCTTTATTCTTTGCTCAGGTAATCCTGATCTGCAGCTGCGACTGCCATCTGTTCGACCCATTTCCTCATGCTTTATCTGTTCATCTAATTTATTTTGTGAGCTTCTGCCAACGTAAATCACCATGTTTTTCTATTCAACTGTTTTATTTCTATCTAGAATTATAACGCTTTTCAAAAAAATAATATCAAATGTTTTCAAGGGGTTAATTTTATTTCGCATTTAAGTAAGTGCTACATGTGATATTTACAGAATTGGGACACTATTTATGTCTTCTGTTAAGGTATTACTACAATTAGGGCACTTACATATACACACATATTTTTTGTTTCATCTTCGTTCTTTAGAATATGTGTTTTGGTGCATTTTGAAGGATGGGCTAGAAAAAGAGGTTAGTTTTGACTGCCAAGAAAGGGTTGACGGAGGACTACAGTACTTTGTATCCATAATTATTACTGACTGATGCTAATGAAGTATCAGAAGTATTTAAATTTTTAAAAATCAAAAAAATTAATATAAAAAATCCTGTTTTTTCAGCCAAAAGATATTGCTCACTTTTGGGAACTAGGTGGAGGAACCTCTTTATTGGACTTAATCAGCATACCAATCACAAGTGATACCTTAAGGTAAGTGAGCCAGCTCCAGGAACAGTTTTTAGTAAGTACCCAGTAGTATTCACAAGATGAATATGAATAGGCTTTTGCGAATCAGAATTTTGGGGGACAGTTTTGTGTTGCTGAAGGCTTATGCTCACTTACTCTCTATGTGCTTAAACTCTAATGCTTCCAGAGCAGTTTAAAAAGAACTAAGGCTACAGCCTGTGCTAAAGTGAAATAGCTGGGATTCTAGCCAGCAACATATTTTGCAAGCCTCCAAACAAACAAAATACGTCAAATAACACTTGGGCAATGAATTCACTTGGCAAAAATAAATTTTAAAAACTTAATTCTTTCTAATACTCACCCAAGTGTGAGCTAATTCAGCCCTGAGTTTTTTCTTTAGCTGGATATTATAAGTCTACCTTTGAGTGTAAAGCGAATTAATACTGTTGAAGCATCATCCGAGGGAAGGATATGAGTTAGAAGAGGAAGAAAATCTCTTTATTTGCTGATGTTAAGAAATAGAACTTTAGGGAAAACCTCAATCTCATTGGTGGTGTTTTCCTGACAATGCCTCCTGCATGTTGGCCAAATCAAATATGGAAGATTGTGACATTTCTCACAGTATTTCTGGGAACCTATCCTAGCCAAGGAAAACAAAAATTTTTAAATCTGAAATATCTTACTCTTGTAAGAGTTGAACACAAACCATTGCTGCTGCTTGAACCAAATACAAAAGGCATGACAATTATTTATTTCATCCATTAAGATCTTTAGAGTATGGAGTTATTACTTGTTAATGGGACAACTATTTTTCCATAACTAGCTGGTTATAGGTAATATTAGCTTTATTTTTTCCCATGATTTTTTTTCTTTTAAAGAAATATAATTTACTGTGTTTAGCTTATTACAAAAGTAATGTGTGCTCACATAGAAAACTTGTAAAAATACTAAAAGGTACAAAGAAAGAACACTCAAAATCACATAAAAAATAATCAATTTTAACATGTTGAGATATTTCTTTCACTATTTTCAGTGTTTGTAAATATACTTTGTAGAGATTTAGAATGTTTTATGTGTACATTCAGATTTTACTTTTTCACTTCTAACCACTATTTCCCCCTCACATTATTTTTTAGAGACTTGGACTTTTACTACTCCCTAGTTTTTCATTTGTCCTCCTTAAACAGAGACAAATAATTAAGCTGCCTAGGAATTTGGGTACCTCACGGTGGTGTGGTTGAGAAGAGACTGTTAAGGTGGGAGGTACCTGAGCTGCCAATTAGCATGGCCTGAGGCTAAAAAGAATTTGGCTCTTACCAGGGTTGTGAGCTGGCTCCAGTTCTGTCCCTGACTTATCACATCACCTTGTTACATTACCTCACTGCCCTTTTCTATGACCAACAGTGTTTGCCCTGATGGGCTTGTGAAAATTCTCATTTTTGTAGGAAACCAAATCTTTCTACAGGCTCTTTAATACCTGACTTTGTCAGTTCTTGCTCTTCCTTTTTCTGGTATCCCAGGGCAGCTGGAGCCTGCTTTAAGAGAGAGGAGAGGTCAAGGTTTTGAACAGAGGGAAGGGGAGCCATAGGCTTGGGTCCAAAGTAAGTTGCTGAATGGTAAAAGAATTCATGGAAAACATTTCACTCCTAATGTACTTGCAAATCGCAGAGTGTTTTGTGACTGGAATTAATTTGACACATAATTTCCTTGTGTCGGACAAAGCCCAGCAACTTGAGAAAATAATACTGCCAAATGCTATTAGGTACTGTTTATCTTTTAAATGGCTGTTCATAGAATAATTATAGATACATTGAAGATTTCCATAGACTTTAGATAAATTGTAATAGAGCATTTTCTATGGTCTGATTCTTTGTTTAAAGAGGTTGGGGTTTTTCGTGTTTTTTTTTGTTTTTTTTTTTTTGCTTTTTAACTTTTTTTTAGCTGTCATTTGCTATGGAGGTAAAAGTAACACAAGTACTTCCAATGCAATGAAAACACAAATTTTAATCTTGAAAAAAAGTTGAACAATCCATTTCTTTTTTTGCTTAAAACAAAGTTAATTTGGAAAAAAGTGATAAATTTTATGTTATATATATTTCACCACAAGAAAAAAAGCCCATGCTAAATCCCTGAAAATAAAATTAGTTTCCTTACTATTAAATATATATCATATTATTGTTGCAGTTAAGCAAAACTGTTTATGACCTTATTAAAATGATATAGATATGATTGGCTAGACAATCATTTTCTAGAAAATCTTCATAATTAACGTCTAAAAGACTACTTTCTGAATTTAGACCTATAGTATAGAATTAAATTACTCTTTTGCTTGAATTACACAAAATAGTTTGTTTGCTCAAAATAAGCAAAATATCTGACTATATTATAAAGTAAGTAACATACAGTTCCTTGCTATATCTACTAGCAGAATGTGTGCCCTGTTGATAAAGGATATAATTGGCCCATGATTATGGCTCTACATACTTATTATGAATTTTCAGAAATACTTCTAGATTTATGTTTATTTTTTATTGCGGTAAAATATCATAACATAAAAGTTACCATTTAGTCATTTTTAAGTTCACAGTTTAGTGGCATTAAGTATATTAATACTGTTGTGATATCATCACACCGTCAATCTCCAGAACTTATTCAACTAACTAAACTGAAACTCTGTACCCGTTAAACGATAACTCCCTATTACCCCTTCCCCTAACCCTTGGCAATCACTACTCTACTGTTCATATCTATGACTTTGACTACTTTTTATCGTGAAGATTAAATAAGCTAGATAGTCCCCTAGGTAGTCCATCAGTAAATCTATTTCCTTTTCCCTTGCCTGGTTGTGCTGCTGCTGTTATTATTATTTTTGTTTCTCTTCTTTGGAATACACAGTAACATTAGATCTAGACATGGCCTCATTGGACCCAGTTGCTTGCAGATTATTTGAACTGAATTATTATTATTTCAAACAAAAACTTCAGTGCCACTCTTGATTGTAATACTTAAATATGACTAGAGAAAATCACTCAAATAAATAAAGATATTACTTTAGTGCTGGATTTTTTTTTTTTTTGTCTTAGAAAATTGCTGTGAGGTTTTACTTTCTTAAGCTATAGTGTTATTCTGAGATAATAATTTTCAGTATAGTAGGGTTTCAACATGGTAATTATTTTGAGTCTTTTTTGAATGATGTTTTTTATTTCTTTAGGACATTTTCTATTGTTCTTGTTTTGGATCTTTCAAAACCTAATGACCTTTGGCCCACTATGGAAAATCTGTTGCAAGCCACAAAAAGCCATGTGGATAAAGTGATAATGAAACTGGGAAAGACAAATTCTAAAGCAGCTTCCGAAATGAGACAGAAGATATGGAGTAATATGCAGAAGGACCATCAAGTGAGTTGCTGTTGGGATAATTCCTGGAATCCTTAGCCCCATATATAGTTAAAGATAACATCACAAACAACTTCTCTAGATTTTTATGCACGACTTGAGATTCATTTGATGTAGATGAACCTGCTCACTAGAAAATTATAGCAATTTAATGAAACCTCAGTAAGAGCAAAACAAGGAAAAAGATTTCTTGTTTCTTCTTGTTAGACATCTGCTGTGATTGTTATGGTATATTAACTAGTCAAAGAAAATAGTTTTAAAGTAGTCGTTTGATACTGATTTTATAAAATGAAGATTAAAAAACTAGACTGTACAGAAGTCACCTGGCAAAAACTAGATGAAGCTACAGATTTGAGCAAGGAGTAGAGTTTAAACAGCCTTCACCATCACTCTATATTTTACATTCATTTAGTGTCATATGTTCAATATCTTTTTATCGTCTGACAACTAATTAAATCATAAAGTTGCAGTGGTAACAAACAAGTTCTTTAAATACAATCATGCATATCATCTTCTATAAAACTAAGAGCAGTGTTTTATATTGCCCAAAGTTGATATGAATATTTTTTACATAGGTCATATCAGAATAAAACTGATAGTTTACGGTTCCTCTGTATGTAGTATAAGTCCCATTGCAACAAACAATTAATACAAAATCATAAAAACAAAAACACAGAAACAGGAAGACAACATGTTATACAAGAAAATAAAAGGTCAGAATACAAAAAAGAATAAATATCATAGTAATTTAGGGACTTGCCATTTCTAGTTTTATACTTAAGAAATACAGTTTATTAAGTGAAATTATTGGAACAACCTCTGTGTCAAGCAAACAAATCAACATCTATGAAGAGAGTTAACGTAGTGTATTTTTAGAAGTAATTAGAAATTGTTGAATATATACTAATAAACAATTATAATGAAATGTATTTAACAGGATCGTGAATTAATTGACCCATTTCCAATACCTCTGGTCATAATTGGAAGTAAATACGATATTTTTCAGGTAAGCTCTTCCACTTCTAATTGAGTTTTTCATACATGCATGTCTATGCTTTATGGGAGAGGAACCAAAGTAATAACAAAATGAGAAAAATACCTCTCAGAGGGAGAGGTCAAGGAGTCACACATCTTGAAGAGGGTAGAAAAGAGGATATAGTTGGGAAAGAGAAAATAGCTAAAGGACAATAAATACAGTGGAATAGGGATAAGGCAGTAGAATGGGGATAAGGTAGAAGATTTAGAAATTGTATTTTTAACCTAGTCACTGAGGGATAGGACTTACTTCCCAACTTTTAAATTGAAGAAGGTAGAAAATTGGTTTCTTCTTATCTTCGCTTGTCAGAGAATCCTTAGGGTATTCCACACTGTAAATGTGTGCCGATATCTAAATTCTACTGAGCTAAGTGTTTAAACAAGGAGAGATCTGATAGCTGTAGCTCTAGAAGGCTGCAGCTATTGTTCAACTCTCTATAGAAACAAATATCAAGGTAATGGAATCCTACTCCTGAGGGTGTGTTCAAAAAAAAAAAAAAAAACCCCAAGAAATCCTCTATTTCTGTATTTAATAATTTGCATCTCATGCTACAGATATTTAGTTCTCTCAACTTGTTTTTCATTTTAATAACATGTTTCTTCAGGATTTTGACTCTGAGAAGAGAAAGGTAATATGCAAGACACTTCGATTTGTTGCACATTATTATGGAGCATCATTAATGGTTTGTACATTTCCTATCTTTTGGGCTTGGATAGACAGTACCAAATTTGGAAAGATTAGCAACTTGATGCACAGTTACGAATACTAATGCTTTTACGGATAGACATCACCCCCTCCTTTCCTTTTCCGTTGGCTAAAAGCCCTCTTGTTACAGAGTGTTTGATAATGGTATCTATACAACACACCGCTAGATGGCCAGCCATTTCTTTGGTGCAGAAGTTCAAAATTGCTTATATCCATAGACCCCATCAATCTTAAGAGATAAATTGGTTATTTTTTAATTCATTTTCAGCTTCCCTTAATAATTGGAATCTCTATTCTCATAAAAGAAAAGAGGGGGTGGGGGAAAACTTTAACAATATGTTCTTTTCTAAACTTAAAAAAAATGCTGTTTGTTGCAGAGGTTAAAAACATGAACTTGGGAGTCATGCTGTCTGGGTTCAAATCTCAAGGCAACTATTTACTAGATATTTGATCTTGGACAAGTCACTTAATCTCATTTAAGCTTTAGTCTCTTCCAGAGTAAAATGACCAGCAAGCCAATTTTGGAAGATATCCTTCAATGCAATAAAATAGAAAAACATTTTTTTTTTAATTTAAAAAAATACAATTTTCCTATTTGATGGTCTCTTTCCTCCTGAAGTGCTCAGAGAAACCAGGAGATAACATGGTCTAGCTTTCATAAAAATTTAAAACTTTTATCCTTTTCAGAAGACTGCAAATAAATGACATTATATATTTTCTTTGAAATCATCACCTTTTATGTTTGTGCTGTATTTGCTTACATATTGGGTTGAACAGACAACTTTGTAAATATTTTTCTTTGCTATTTTGAAAAGATATGGAGAATTTAAAGTGAATGACTCATCTCGGGTGAGTCAAAAGCGAAAACTATGGATCATGTAGTTCCTTGTTTCTACTGCTAGATAAGGGTTCACATTTAGTTCTAATTAGTTAGGTAAGGGAAATCTCTACCATTCTTTTTGGAACAAATCATATTTAATGATCAGTCAAGGCCCAGTCTGGTCTTATGGATACAAAATTAGATGAAATCAGGTCATTCAGGTCATGGCAGACCTGGGATTGACCATGGCCTAGAAGACCCTAGAAGATCAGGGCAGGGACAAGAAAAAGGATTTGAGAAGGGCTTCATCTCAGTTTCAATAAGCCCAAGAGATTAGAAGTTGGGGTTAAGTCTACGGCCATGCCACCCTGAATAAGCCCGATCCTGTCTGATCTCGGAAGCTAAGCAAGGTCGGGCCTGATTAGTACTTGGATGGGAGACCACCTAGGAAGACCAAGTGCTGTAGGCATAAAAAATAAAAAATAAGAGATTATAAGCTGACAAGGTCCTTGCAATCTGTGAGGTCAACCAAGGGTTGCCTTGCCTAAAAAATAAATAAGTAAATAAAAATAAAATTTGAAAAGTTAAAAAAAAAAAGTATTTAGCAGTTGGGGTTAGAGGAGTGCTTCTGGACCACCAAAGGAACCGTGAAACTTATCTAGCTACCCAGGCCGATAAGAGAGTAGCCAAAGTTCTCAGTGCCCTATCTTTTCATTTCACTTCCACTCTTACCCTATACTCCATTCAAGGGAGTGAATTGGGTACTGCTTTACAAGATTCAATGATTCTCAGCAGTTTTTTTCAACACTATAGTTGATCCTTTATATTTCAGTCAAGAATACTGATTCAATGCTATGAGCAATTTAATAAAGTTAATAAAAACAAAAATAGAAAAACATTGATAAATAGGACCAGATTCAGTGGAAAGCCACCAGGATGGTAGGTGACTTAAAATGATGATATATGAGAAGGAGTGTAAAATTATATTGTCATCTAGAAACTGATAATGCTCTTTCAAAATCTGAAGGACTGTTACATGGCAAAGGGACTCCCTAGGGAGACCACCTAGGAATACCAGGTGCTGTAGTTAAAAAAACAAAAAACAAGGAATCAATAGAAAGAGTTTAATTCAAAATAAGAAAGAATATTCTAATACTACCATTACCTGAAAATGGAATGGGTTGCTTTGGGAGATAATGAGTTCCCAGGCATTGCGTTTATCCAAGCAGAAGCTCTATAGCTATTTGTGGAGGATGTTTTCAAGATAATTGATGCAGCACATGGTGGGTTGAGTTAGAAAACTTTTCATGTCCTCTCAGCCCTGTGAAATACATTTATGATGAAATTTTTTCCCTCTCCATATAGGGAATATAATAATAATAAGAGTTTTTTAAATTCAGTTAAAATTTTTTATATTTAAAAAAATTGTATTAATAGAAGCACTTGTTTCAATTTTTAAAAACAAATGTATCATATCTTATATTTTCACATGAACGTTCTCCATTGAATTCTTTCCCTGAGAGCCTGTTCTTAATCCAGAATGAATCTTATCCTGAAAATTGATCTCTGCTTTATAATTACATTTCATTTTGGTTCAAGGCTGTTTTTCCTATTTTCATACATCTTAGACATTCTGATTTTGCTGAGTGACTTTTGGCATTTCCAGAACTCAAATTTAGTCATAAAAGATTTGTAGGGTAACCATATGTCCTGGTTTTCACCCAATGTCTTAGCTTATTAATAATACCTACCTCCTTTCATTCTCTAAAGTATTCTAGTTATGGTCACTCTAGTTATATACCACTACTGAGAATGTTCAGTAGCTTATTTTGCAGGCTCCAAAGGCAATTCAGAAGAGAAGTTAAAAAATCATTTTAGTAAGTATCAGTATTGTTAGATTAATCTGCAGCCACCACATTAA